CGATTGGTCAAGAATACTCGTGGGGCACTGATTCTTCCAGGTTGGGCGTCGGAAGTCCTGGGCCTTTTGTTTGGTAGTTCTTCTGAGCATTCATCTTCGTGGGTAACATCTACCTGGGTAGCGGCGGCGCGAGAGAGCCTGGGACGGGACCTAGGATATTCTCTCGCGGGGGAGAAGGAACCCTAAAGTGGGTTGCTTCCGGGGAAAGCAGCGTACGAGGTGTGGGGAATCGTTCTCGGTAGTTCACCGGTGGGGTTACGATCTTCCTGGGGGTCATCTTGAGTTTGGTCAAGAGATGGGGGATGTGGTGAGAAGGAGGAGCCTCGAGCTTCATTTTTCGCAATCGGAATAGGGTGTGAAGTTCGGGGTTTCTTCCTTGGGGGGAACATACCAGTAGGGTCGTAGTCGTCTTCAGGTTCTTGGTCATCAACGGGGTCCTGTTCAAGGTGTAGGAACGTTTGGCCTGAGTTTAATATGGTGTGCTGAAATTCGGACAAGTTGCAGAAGCGACATCGATTTTTGCAACCTCGGATAGACCAGAAAAGTCTGCCATAGGTGGTGGTTTCGCCGCATCGTATCTGGGCCAGTTGTGAAACTTGGAAGCGGTTTAAGAGACGGCCTGTAAGAAGGTCAAGTCCGCTAGGGTCGGCGGGCCGAGCACCACATAGTTTATACCGGTGTGTGTCTGTTCGTAACTATTCGAGCCATTCCGTTCGCAGTTTGCGCTTGATACATGCTAACATGTCAACGCACCAGATTGGGGCTGTTTGCTCAAGAAATCATAATTATCGAGATAATGTTTGACCCATTTGCCAGCGATCTCGTTAGCAGCGATTCCGCAGTGCGAGTACACAAACTGGATGTGTAATCTCGATTCTTTTCTAATATTTTCGGATTATTACGAGTCTAAATCTTTGTTGCATTAAAAAATGAGGTAAACCCGAAGATTAGTATTTATATTTTCTTTTATTCAATCGCAATGGTGGTGATTAAAAAAATAGGAATGGAACTATATGCCATAAATTAACTGCCAACGGAGGGTGGCTATCTAAAAAATCATAGAAGTCGCGATTACAGTCGTTGTAAAGCAGAAAAGAATGTATTTTGTAGATAGAAAAATATTTTTTTGTTTAATTAAATCACTTGCGCTTATAACTATTAGTATCATATAATAAAGTGTTTTCTAATTTCTTAATATAATTATTTAACATCTTTTTCACATCCTATGGATTTATTCTAGGAATATTTTGAATATAGAATGTATAAACAATTATATTTTTAATGTTAAGTAAAAAAACATCAATTTTATACAAATAATCAATGCACTATAAAAATTTGCGCATATCCATGTGAATATTACAAATTAGAGAATATCAAGTGCAGTTAAACATGTGCCAGGATCTCAAGATTTTTAGTATACAGAACTAGTCTCTACAATAAAAATTGACAATCTAAATAAATCAAATAGATAAAAATCTTTCAAGCATAGAAAACAAGAACTTATATTTTAAAATGACATAAATAAGCTACCAATGCCTGCGTTAACTGAAGATAAAGCACTTTGCTCTTTTGAAACCATCACCGTGCGCTGGTCCATTGGAATTAAACGTGGCGAAATTTTATTTTAATATAAAAACACTAATGGTATTATCATTGCATATACAAAAAGGAATAATAAACTTATTTAAATGTTAACAATAAGTTGTATACATGGGTGCATCCAACACTCGTTGAGGCTCATTTTTGAAAATTATTTAAAAAAATATTTGAAAAATATTCTGAAAATAGAGTTTTATATACTGTTAGAAAAAAAATATGCCAAATAAATGAAATATAAACTAATTGGTAAATCCCATGATACCAAATCTGCAGCTCAGACCCTTGCGCCCTACCAATGTGGTAATTTAAGTGCCATGAAAACACCACAGGCCATGTGGGGGATGGGGGTGGAAACGCAAAATTGCTTTGCTTCAAAGCTCAAGAAAGTAAATTTCACTTTTAGCTGCTAAATTTTAGATGCCGACAGATAAAAAGGTGCATTAATAGAGCAAAAAATTTATTACTCTTGAGTTGCCTGGGGGGCGTGTGCGAAATGGCGAATTTCATGGCTTGGCCTGAACAAAAAAAACTAATATAATGCGGGATCTTGCGTTACATTTATCAACAAGCCTCGGATAAATATTAAAGGTTTTAGGAAAAAATATAGCTGAAGGATTGGAGAATAGCTGGGCAATAAACCCGACAGCAAGCATCACGGGGAACGATGGCTTATAAAAAAAACAAAAGTAGTTGCACTAATGTGGGCGGAAAATAATGAGCAATGCGGCAATAGGATGCTGCAATTGAAGAAGATATACATAAAATAAAGCCCGCACTGGGAAAGCGCAATATCTAATCGTGTTTTTATATTATAATGTAACACATGCTTTGTGCGAGAGCGCCGCCCCGTGCCTTGGCGAGCGGCCTGGGTTTCACAATGAAACTATTACTGTCGCCACGGTGTTTTTGGGCATGCCTCCCCAAAGTTCCGCTCAATGGGCCGTCCCATTAAAATTACCTCCATCTTCTTTCGATTTTTTTTGATTAAAGGCCGTTTTGCGTTAGCAAAATGTCGAAAAGGAAATTGTCATCGGGCGGGCCACTACATTGAAAGCTTATGGGCAAAGCATCGGTGCATAGGCGGTGCGGGGGGACTGTTTTTTTTTTTTGCGTCGGCGGGAGCCAGGGGGGCGGGCCCAAGGATACCAACTGCAAACAGGCCGCCAACAGTGCAGTGTGGTATCGTAAAATTACCAGATGGAGCGTTTAACGCAGTGGTGGGGTTGCAGGATGATTGGGCGCGGGCGTTCTTAGCCATAGTTTCGACTTCATTTTTTTTTTTCATAACAAAATTTCGAAAAGCTTTTTAGCGACTTAAGGTCCCCCGCGGGATGCTTATGGGCTGACTCTTTTTCTGTTTTCGAACCACTAAATAGTTGGCGGGGTATGAAGTGGTGTAAGCATTCTGCTGGCCAGTCCGTAGGATTTTTTTCCTTTTCAAACTTAAAAAGGAGTGTCACCCTTTTTTTTTTGAAAAGAGGATTTTTTTCCATGAAGAGTATAGTAATAATAATATTTATTATTATTATTAAGTTCGCCAAAAAGGATTGTTTTTGCTTAAATTCGCTTGGTCATAACTCTTCAAAAAGTTACTATTGTATTTTTTTCTCACACCATTTTCTTATGAGCCACTTATTTATTACAGTTTCGAACTCGAATATCATACAGAAGTCGAACTTGTGATACAGACTATTTGGATTTATTTTAAAATGGATCAAACCTTAATGGATAAGGTTCAGAATGAATCCCAAGAATCTGTTTCTACGGCGATCAACAAAGTTTTTAGACCTTTGCTGTCAAATCTTCTCCTAAACTTCGATGAGCCAAAGTTTAGGAAAATTAGAATTGAAAATCCAGTTATCAAACGGTATACTGAGGGGTTATCGCACAATTTCAGGGACTACCTGTTTAGTGTCTTGAAATTTTCAGAATCAAGTAAAGAGCCAGGGTTTTGGATATTTTTAGGCGATATAAATGACTTAAAAGATGCTGATTCCGTTTTTTCTGCTATAGAAAAATACTTTAACGAAAAAAAACCGAAACTATTGAATCTACCTTCGCGAAGAAGAAAGGCTGAACCCCATCCCAGTCATATTAAAGTTGCTTTACCGGCCTCACAGGGGGTTTCATTTACTTGTTCACCACACGGCAAAAGTGATGAATTGTTTAATAGCCCATTTATGGAAAAAGATTTTGAAGCTGTTTCTCATTTAACGGAAATTGCTAGTCAAACGTTACTAAATGTTTCAAGGGTTCGAAATTGCTTCTTTGATGCCAAAACCTTTACATTGCGGCAGATGCTTCATGGACGTGTTTATGTTTGCACGGAAAATTGTGAGAATTACTGCCTAGAAGCGCATTGGCACCTTTTTTCTGGAAAAGGCTTAGTTTACGCTTATGTTGCCCACCTTTCAAGCGATGCGAAGCAGCTACTGCATTTAGGAATAGAGTATGGATACCAATACAACAGTCTTCCGGGTTCCAGTAACTTTGGCAAAACAATCAATTTTAGTCAAAAACTTCTTTCTACTGATGGTAAGTTGATTATTAATAATCATCCAAACAAACCAGTGGATTCATGCATTTATTGTGGTGTCTCATTCTCGAAAATTTTCCTATAACTTATTATTATTATTACTATTATTACTATTATTATTATTATTATTATTGGTTTTCGGTTTCAACATATGCACTACTACTTCTACTACCAATAATAATAATAGTAAAAATAGTAATAATAGTGGCTTAATGAAAATGTACCAAAAAAATATTTGGATGTTTGTGGAGTGTAAATATATGCGGTTGCCTTTTTTTAAACAAATTCCAATTCCCATTCGTTTTTATTTTTTGCAAAATTTTAGTTGTCTTAAAAAAAAGAATGTGCCATGTTATTTGAGAAATTTTTTTTTTCTCTGATAACTACATATTTCGGCAAATTCATAAAAAATATCAACCAAAAGCTTGTTCGTGCCAGTATCCTTAGAGGCTCGATACAACTCATTAACCTAGAGTTGTCATCTGAGGTATTTAGTGGATGCTCTTCCATAAAATTGCTTAGGGGCACAATTGGCTCTCTTACCCTTAAGGTACCATGGGGCTTTTTGCATAGTAGACAATGTTTAATTCAAGTCGATAGAATATGCATTGTGCTTTCAACTGAACTGAGAAAAGAGGATGGAAGTCTGCGCGAAAAGTTGGAGATGCTCATGCGCCTCACAAAAAGTAGTAATATTATACAAGCCATCGATAATGTCGAAAAAGGGAAGGTATGTAAGCCTGGATTTTTTCAACGTCTCCAAAGCACAATCCTCAACAATATTAAAATTGAAATAAATGAGTTATCTATTTGTCTTGTAAGTGGAACGGGCATCTCTGACGCGGAAAAGATAAGTGTATGTCTAAAAGTTCCAAGTATAAAATGTGAGCCAACAGATTCTAACCACGCACTTTTTGTTTCAGGTGAAGCACGTGGTAAAATTTTCAGACGTGTTGTCATTGAAAATACCACCTTGCACATAAATAACGGGAAGCCGGTTGACGTTTGCTTGAGTTCCGATCAACATAGCTTGAATGAACTTGCCTTTGAAGACTTTGCTCGAGTTTGTGAAGACGTTTCAAATTATCAGACTGCTTTGAGCTCAAAAAAGGCAACCGTCACTATTGTATTCAACCCTGAAACTAGTGATTTGCAATGCTTCACTACTATTGTGTCTGTTTTGATATTCATTGATCAAATTTTTTTAATCGCCTCTTTATCCTTATTTAAATCATTGAATCAGGCAAAATCAGCTGCTAGTGTCGATAAGCCAGTCTCACGACCAATGTGTGCGAATGCATCTGCATGGTGGCGGTATGCTATTTATTCAGTAGTATCTGAGATATCAGCGTCCCGTAAGCGGAAATATTTTGATTGGAATAAGTACGTTTCGTGGAAGAAGGCTTGCACAAAATACTACAATCGTATGCTTGTTGAATATGGTGCTCCATGGATTGTACCTGAGGATATTGCCACTGACAATAGTGAGCCAGAGGAAACTCTCTCTCCTGATGATCTCACTGAACTCAGAAAAAAGGCTCGGGATGCAGTGCAAGTATTTGAAGCGCGCCGCATTGTTCCGGATTTAAGACTTTGCCATGAAGCTTCTATACGTAAACCTGAAGCATCTCCACAAAGTCCCTTTCTTCCTAGTCGCCTAACATTTGAACTACCGAAAATTCGGATTCGTACGGACGATGATTTTTTCCTTGATGCAGAAGTCTTTTCTGTCACGGTACACGTGGGACGGAAAAAAATAAGTATCAATGCATCACTTCAAAGTGCTCAGCTCAATAGCTTAGAAACCAAATTAATCCCACATGAATCTGATCTTCTTATCGCGAGAAGCAATAAACCTACGTTAAAGTGTGATATTCACGGATTTGGAGAATCTGTTGAAACCACTGTTAGGATGTCTTCATTGAGTATTTTCATAAGTGAGTCTTCGCTTAGCACGTTACACGCAATGTGTGAAAAGTACCGTCAAGTGAGTATGATGGTTTCACAAAAACTTCGAGAGGTTAGAAACACTGAAGCCAATGATGGGACACAATCCATATTGCACTCGCTCACGCATAAAATTGCAATGACTGTTAACTCTATTGCAATTACCATTGGTGATGCTACCACAAGCATTGAGGGTGTTTCTCTTTTATCCAATCCAAATTCTGTCAACTGCTCGATATCTAGTACCTTGGTGTCAATATCGGGTGTAAATCTTTTTCGAGGTGAGAATATATCACTGACATCTCAATTCATGGATTTTGTATTTAATATAAAAATAAGAGCTGCAAATATCGAGAATAACTTAGTGGCCTTCGAGCACCTAAAAAATACCATGTCTACTCTGAAGCAGTTATATTACAAAATTTCTCAGAATCGTTCAGAAAAAGTCGGTGAATTTCATGATTCAAAGATTTTTGTCGTAGTTGTTGAGTTCACCTCTATACGTTTCAGCGCATTGGAGTTCTGTAATGTTTCCACAAGTACAGCTATTCGCGATGGATGGAAAGTCAGTATGGATTGTAAAGGTGTACAATGTGCTTCAGCATGTTACCCCACTGCCAAGGTAAGCCTATTAATCTGGGCAAATTCAATGCTTTCTTCATCACCTTATTCTGGAGAGATTAATGAAAATGGGATCGCTTTTCACTTTCGCGCAAACGATCTTCATCTCCAGGTTGATAATGTGTTTGCAGAAGTTATTGAATCTCTTTATGATGTGGTAAATTTATTAATCAATCCACAAGAGGATGCCCATGTCTACCTTAGAGACACATGCATGTTTAACATCCCAAACATGTCCGGATCAATCTTTCTAGACGACTGTAGTATGTGTCTTATTGACGACGAAAACATACTTCTTCCTATAGAAATTTGTGCACTGGCAAGACGGAGCCTTGTGGTGAAATTCAACTACTACAGGGACAAAAGGGTGGACGTTCAAGTAGATTGGAATGACGGCGTCAATGCATTCATCAAAGACCTTTCTCCAACTGTAGTTGACTTACTTCCGCATCGGAGTGGAGGGCGTTGCTCTGTACAATTTCACTTGACCCCACCACAAAGTCAAGACATGTTACTATTTCCCTATGCACGGCTTCATCTTAATGTCGAGACTGATAACTATGACGCGGTAATGCACTTTCCGACTATCCAGGCATTATGGTTGCAGTTTAATTCAGTTCGATTACCCTTGTGGAGGCTATGCAATATCGGTTCCCGCATTCACTTTACTAATCGATCAAGCCGCATGGGCCTGCGACCAGCGCGTTCGCCAACTTCCCAGAAATACGCTGACTTGGGACATGCGGCAAAGATGAAGAGCATATATGGTTGTGAGGTGATCAACCCATCACCCTTCCATTTGGAGGGACTCTTCCCAATGGAAATTAAAATGAACATGAAATTCACGCAATCGGGATTGTATTATCTTTGGGGAAGTGGGGAAATCGCTTCGATGTATTTTTATATTTCATCTTGCGAAGCCCACTTATCTAATCGTGATGGCTGTCTACGTGCTGAACTTTCAGGGCAGCTTTCCTTTCCTCAACTACGCTTTATTAGTCCGACGCCCTTGGCATCACCGACATCACCAGACGTGTCAACACATGTAGGCACCTCGAAAATACACTCTCGCTATGTTTCTTTCGGCTGTTCCTACGCCAAAAATCCTTTGCTCCTCAAACTAGTGTATACCAACGATAGTAGGCCGCCGTTCAATGACGGAGTTGCCAATGAATCTCTCAATATATCCATCACTGGTTGCACTTTTCGTAAACCTTCCACGGGGACGTCGCCTTTCCAGAACCAACATGAGCCCATTCTAGCTCGATTCGACCGTGAGGAAGTAGCAGCGTGGCTAACTGTGTTAAGTTACAACAACGCAGCCAAAACAGCAATACAGAGCATACGGGATAACTTTCCTGTGCTTCCTTCCTTCGCGCCTCCTACTAAATTCGTCTCTGAAGAAGTTAACTGCAATGCAGCCAAAAAAAATCGTCGTATATTAACAACAGTGCAATTCGCCCCTGCACTGCTTCACTTCCCGACGACTGGGCTAGCGGTCTTGCTGAGCGGGGGCCTTCGCCTTTCAAACACATCTGTTTTGAATGAGATGTGCATTCCCAGCGTGTCTTTGTTATACAGTGAATTTTTTTTTCACCAAATAGATCGCTCGCTCTTAGAAAGTATTATTTGGAGTACTCCAAGGCCATATGGACCGCATAGTCGTAAAAAGGATAGAGATATCCACCTCTTAGCTCGTATAGAGTCATTTTCCAGAGACGTAAAGGATGTTTTGGATACACACATAACCCAACAAATGAGTGCAATAGCAGTTTACTGGGCAACCTCGCAAAATCCCATCAAACCACATGATGACAAGAAGGACAGAACTATTGAAATTCAAGGGGATGGTCTCAATCCATGGTTTGCTTCCCAACGTCTTCTAGTTGGTCAGCTTACATCCAACATCGACGAATCACTGCTAGCGTCCTTCATAGGTTCGACCGCCAGGATCACTAATGGGTTCTACCAAATCAAACAAACAATGTTGAGATACAATAACAACATTTCACTCGCGGAGTGCGCTCGAATAAACCTTTATATAAATTATTATGGTCGTGACCGTAACTTGCTAGCCTTTCCGGACGGGGAAGGATTGTGTCAGCCCCAGGAGTACCATGACGCCGTGAACAATGTTGATGCAGTTGAGAGTAGGCCTCTCGCCAAGACGCTCCAGGATTCGGTTCTATCGCCACCTACATTTTACCTTTTTCTTGAAGCTATCCATATCGAATACAATTGGCGTACTCAGCTCTTAACTCCTCCAGCGTCGACTGTGAGCATAGTTTTTCGATGTGGACCTTTGCAGTATTGCAACAAACACCGAGAGGCAACCACAGGTAACGCAGACAACATGTGTCAGCTCGACGAAACATTAGTATGCGATACTTGTCAACCACCCCGTGGTTCTCTTGCGATTATTGCTTTTGATCATGTTCACGTGTTTTTTAAGCTTGACCTGATAGAAATTCCCGTCGATATAGATGCTAATGAGACTAACGGCTCTTTGAAGGCGTTTTCAAAAACATTTCCTCTTGTATTTCCCTTTGATATAACCACGATACAGACCCGCAAGGTTAGTTTTGTGTCACTTCTAGACACACAAGAAGAACCCTTTGGCATCCCAACAACTTTTCCCAATAACCACGTTTCTACGGATGCAAATAGCAGTTCATGCTTAACAGCTAAAGCAGCGGCTCCTCTTGCTCTAGAGGTATCGCCGCTGTTCATCTTGTTATTACCAACTTCTTACATGTTGCTATATGAGTTGGTTCAGTCTCTTACTGTGATGTTCTCAGTTGTGCCCACAAAACCTCACCTTCCTCCTGCAGTTGAGCGAAACGCGGCACCGCTTCACGCGGAGATGAGAAAAGCAGATAATAAACAGTCTGTGATGTCATTACGAAGCGATGTAGAACACTCACTTGGGGAAAGACCTAAAGAGCACTCTTCCCTGTGCTTTGTTATTAGTAGTCATCTTCTAGAACTGCGCATAATTAAATTTTGCACTGAAGAGGATGAATGGGTCTTCTTGCAGAGTCTAGGGGTTGCGCAAGGAACCCCTGAGGCAGCCCTTTCGCCAACCCAGGCAGTTTCGTCCACGGCTGTTATCTCCCAAGAAGATGAAGAGAAACCCTTGGGTCAATCTAAAGTAACCGAAGGACTTCATCATAGTATTGAGTTGGTCCACAAAGAAGCATTGAATTTTGAAGACAAAAATAGCGATGCTGCACAAAGTCCATCGGTTGTCGTGCCGACGAGATCGTTTCCAATGCTAAGCAAGGCTTCAGACAATGCGAATGTCTGTTTTCGTAAAATAGGTAATTTTTTCGTCATAAATATCGAGCTGGAAAGAGAACAAAAGCAACAAGTGCTTTCACAATGGACACGTGTCTGTGTTGCACACGCGGTCTTTGCCTGTGACTGTTTTGTGTTATCTATGAATCATACTTGTTTTACATCCAACATCGCTCATAAATGGTCTGCGACAATAGCGCACGCGGCATGTAGTCATTATGTACATGACCACCCTGATTATCCACAAAAATGGCAGCGTCAAGCAGCGCGAACCCATAGCCATGTGAGTTTGGTCTGCATCGACGGCTTAGCGTGCCGTGGCTCGGTCGCGTCGCCTGAAGCTGAACATCACGGCGTCGAAAAGAAACATCAGTGCCACGAAGAGGTTGGTGAAGACGGACCAGATCTGCACTGCAGCCGTACTGGGGACGCCTTTGAAGCTTTCTCTATCGAAAAAAAGGATTTCAGATGTGAAGTTGAAAGCATTGGGGTTGAAGTGGACATACCTTCTGTGATAACCTTGACCGAATTTCTTATTGTGAGCCCTTTGAAGAGGATCAACTTTTTAAACCAGAAAGTCAGCCAGGACGGGGCCAAAGGTGGGGATATGGGGATCGCGGCCACGGTATCACCTCAATGGATTCACATAGCACCCATCACTGGGGACAAATGGTCTCTCACAGAGGATGTGCATCTTTCACATCGTCGACACAGCAAAGTTTTGTACTTCCGCAGCCTAAACTCAAATCACTTGACAGTGCACATGAATGGGCACACTATTTTCATTGAACCCGATCATGGCCATACTGGAAGCACACTCAGAGGGAATGGCTGCCCTGAAGACAAAGGGAGTAAATCATCTGCAAATGCTCCTCACCGTGGATTTCAACTTGACCAAGCACTGATGATTGTAGAGGCTGGCCTTACGGTGCGCTTTGTGGGTGCTGGTGGGTTCCGTATCCCCATTCATCACTGGAGCCAAGGCCTAGCCACCAAAGTAGAGCGGATGGGTGTTGTAGCGGCGTTGCTGCCCTACACAACCTTGGGAGAGGCGAGTTGGGTAGAGTGCGAAGAGGGGCTACATCTCGGGTTTACGGAAGCTTATTTCAGTATGAACACCAGCAGGGACGACCCAACTACTGCATATGTTGAATCAAGCCCTAGTAGTGTGGCGCAACTTCCGAGAAACTACGGAAAGGTGGAAGGGGAACAGCACATTCGACAGCGTCAAGGACGACTTCAGTCGTTTGACGCTTTCTCTTCAAGCCTATCTGTTGAACTTGGTGATCAGGCGAGCCCATCTGGTGAAGAAAATGTATGGAGTATGCCTATGAAGGAATACAAGACGGATCTTGAGGCTGCCTGCGACGCGTTGAACAGCCTATTCATTCTGCCTCCCTTGGAAGAAGAAGACAAACGTGTGGTCTCTTCTGATGATGAGGTTAAGGAGTTAGCAAAACAGGTAAGCCCATGCGTGGCCGCTTACTCATCAGCGGATGGGACTAGTAACCTATCAGAAAATGTTTTTACTACAACATTTACACAGGGTCACGGAGTGTTAGAGAGATCATTACAGAACTCCTTGACTGGAATTATTAGACGTCTTACTGTGTGCTGGCGGTCGTCTGTGGAACCGCGCTTCCTGCATCTAAACACATCCTTGCATCTCCAGACATGCCTTATTGATGGTCAATGGTCAGAGGGACAGCTTCAACTGCAGCAACTCGCTATGCACTCTCAACTCGAAGGGGTGTACTCGAGCACGACGAGCGCCATGATTCTCGCTCCGACCAGTGTTGATGTACGCTTAAACAAAGGGTTTCATCATGCTGCGTCGTTAGGTCCCCTGAGTGTGGACATAACTAAAAATGACGTTGACCTGTTTCGCTCCCTAATTCACGAAACTCAATCTGCTATAGAGTACTTCTCATATCTTCGCCTCACACAGGAGGAAAAGGAAATCCTTCAACTCATTGAGGCCACCATTGTGTCGAGGCCGGTTCACACCTACCACATTCACAGTGATGTTCTCAAGGGCGAAGCGGAGGAGACTACCAACGGTTGTAGCAACACACCTGAAGCCCCTAGACAGACAAGAGCCCCTTCCAGGACAGATACATCACCCTGCTCGACATCGTTTATTCAACACGAAGGGACCGCGAAAGGTGGGAAAACACGTAATACTAGGGAAGGTCTTCATGAGGACGATATTGGATTAACCTCTTTCGCCCTGTACATCCCCTTAGTAACCGTCACTTTAAGTGATCACCGCTTTCCTCTCCTGCGTGCTACGGTTCGAGACATCGCCCTGCGGCATACTACTAATGCAGCCTCTGATCGTGCTATTTTCCTCCAAAGCCAAGCTTTTGAAGTAGATGTCTTTGGAAAAGGACTCTGGGACTCTGTGCTCTTGCCGACTGCAGAGCTTACCGTGGAATATATTCAGTCCAAGTCACGATACAGTAGTAACACTCGCCTTTTAGTAACCTGCGACGGGTTGCAGGTACAGTGCTCTTACCGTGTCCTGTCTAGCCTTTTCTATGCCACAAATCAAGCATCAACTTTCTTCCGGCAACAGAAGCGCGTCGTGCCGCCTGTGCCAATCAATTTCAACGTCCATAGGCGGTACTCATCGACTGCAATTACTAACGAGACGGCTCGTGATAACTCCGATACTGATTCCTGGTGGATTTCTGCCGCTAAAACGCACCAGTTACACTCAGAAAAATCTGTGGCTAGATCTCCGGCCGTGGTCAGAGATGTTTACTCTTTCCCTTCTTCCTCTCCACTAAACTTGATCGAAGCCGGCTCAGCTTCTACACCCCTTTCCTCTGCATTGCCCTCTATGTCAAGAGAAGCTCTGAACACTGAGGCCATCTTGTGTGGGGATTCGACTACCGTTGGACTTCCTCTCGCGGAGGAAACGCGTTCTGAAAAGTCGACGAGGGATGTAGGCGAGGTAAGAGATAGTTTCGTGCCCTCCAAAGCACATCCTATCCGATCAGCTGTGTTGATTGAGGGAACTGCAACGCACCGCTTCAAAAATAGCTTTAACTGCACCTTTTACCTTCGAATTGGATGCAAAAGCGGCGGCGCGGATGCAGATTGGCTGTGTGTGCCACCCTCATCATCTGTAGATATCTTGATTCCCTATAAGCGTGTGCATGAGCTGTTTGTATGCGTGTTTCCACAAGATTACGTAGTGTGGTCCGTTTCCAGTGGCTCCTACGTTCTCACAACAAAGGCTAAAAATAGCGTTCTGTCAAAAGCAGAGGTCGCGGTATCGGCTCTGCGTTATGGTAGAGCCACCGGACTGTTGGTGGGAGAGGATATGCTGGTTGTTCTTTCTTGCGTGGACCCGAGGCGCTTAGGGGCTTCCGCTAGCCGCGAGGCAGGGGTCAGCCCCGACGGCCCCTCCCCTGAAGTGGTTCCGATGGGCGTCACATGCGAGGCGTCACGGTGGGCGGGATTGCAACAAAGTGCCTTACCTTCTCCGCAGGTCGAAGGTAACAGCAGCGAGGCAGCTCCAATTCCAACTTCAGACGAGGAGGGTGACGTTGCTGGCCTAATTGTTGTCCAGATTCACGCAAAGCTGACCCTTTGTAATCAGAGCGGTGTGCCGTTGCTTGTTAGCCAGCATCTTGTTGGAGAACGGGTAGAAGAGACGGGGATGATATACAGGAACATGCAAGGAGGGAGGAACGAGGTGGGGGGGTCTGGGGATCAGCAAGTAAGAGGGATAGATAATACTGCGGAGTACGAGCTCCTCCCCACGGGCTACTGTTATCCACTAAAAAGTAATTGCTTTACTTTGCGCCTTCGGTGCAACACGAATAGAACATTTAACAGTGTCTACGCAGCTGAGATTGACGTGCTAACGTTAAAAAGCGGAATGCTGCTGAGGTTATACCCTTTTCCCGAAACAACTGACAGCAGCATTTGCAACAAGGACGATAAGCAACGCAAAATTCCTCGAGGAAGTTGTGGGGTTGCACAGATGATACGTCAAGATGCGTTTAACGACACTCGCCCCTTAATGTTCTTAGTTGCGTGTAGAGAAATCACCGAGAGTCAGTCTCGTGTCATTACACTGCTTCCATGTTTTAGAGTTGTGAATCACACAGGTATCACGCTGAAAATCTCCATATGGCAGAAGGATGGGTTTGCTGGCGCACAAACACCCATGGATTGCGCGCTTATGGAACCATGGCTACCGAGAGAGAGTGACAGAAAGTGGTGTGTCCCTGAGAAAAAAAAACATTTCTTCTACAGCAGTCTCGTCCCTCTTGCCATACATGATGAACTGCGCCACAATCACGCTCTGTCGATTCTTCAGTACACTGTCGACAGCAACTTGGCCCTTGGACTCTCTTTCGCCCAGTGTACTGGTGCCATGGTGCGTACTGAGGGTCTTGTACCTATCGTAAAGAACCTGCGCCGTGCTTTACATCATAATTCATTATGGCTTCCTTTGCATGATAGCATCGGTCGCACTTTTCATGTACATGTTGCAATTTTCCAGCGTGTCATTGTGTTGTCGGCGGCTGTATGGGTATACAACCTCACTTACTACCCCCTTTTGTTGACGGACAGCTCCCTTACGTGTCGGCTGACGGCAGGGCAGGACTCCAACACCGGGATCATCCCGTCACAAGGAACGCCATTTCTCATCGGCTGCAAGTTACAGGACTTCCCATACATGTCCTTCAAAATAGGGTTGGATGGTGAGTGGTCAAGTCTTGTTCCCATGGATGTCGGTACCAGCGGCGTCTTCGAGTCCATCCAAAAAGAATTTCGCATCACACGAAGTTGCAACTATTCGATCCAATTTCCAAACTTACAAATGGCCCGCCCTGTCGTCCTGTGTATCACATCCAGATGGGTTTTCATCAACCGCACCATGAAATCGCTTCGATTGTTCTTTGATTACCCAGGAATGCAAGGTGTGATTGAGAAGACTTACGAGGAAGCGCGAAAGGCAGCCTCGCAGACTGCGGGTGATACCACAAGAAGTCGAGGCATCACTATGGCATTGGCGTCCGTTGTCTCCATCGAACTCAATCCAGGTGAGTATCATGTCAGCTGTATCGGAACCGATACGGGCAACAAGCTCACACTTCAGGAAAAAGTCGAAGCCATACCATCCTCTCTGACCACCACTACCACCGCCATCACGGCAGGTGACAAGGATACTCCCATGCTTTACGAAAGCCTACGCACTGACAATGTCCCTATTGACCAGCCTGGGCAGGCAACGCTCAACCTGTGGGTAGTCCCACGTCCGCTAGTGGCTTCTTTACCCCCGCACAGTTGTGCCACGGCTGAGGGCTCGTTTGGCGGTCCTGACACCGACGCCGTTGTCACCGGCCGGATTATAGTGTCGGTGCAGAACGCGGAGGGAATGCTTGCTGTCGTCCTTAGCAGCTGCTCCGACCAGCACGTGTTGATTCAGAACCGTACCCAAGGGACAACAGTCATAGTCACACAAAAGGGTCGTCAGCGCCGCAGTATTATCCCTGTTCGGCAGGATCGGTTTTTCTTCTGGGAGGACAGTAGTGGCGAGCACGTGATGGGGGTCCGTGCGCAGGGAAACAACATCAGCTGGTTCGAGATCGACTTTACCCATGGTAACTGTCTGATAACACCCAGGCAAAGTGATTCCACGTTGAAAGGCAATGAACAGAGTCCGCGTGCAAGGGAAAGGGAAAAATACGGACGAAGAAAGTGTCCACCCCAATCACCAAGCAGTGAGGCTGCCAGAACACCACCTTTTCATGTCCGTGGCTATGTAAGCACTGAGAAAAAGCGAGTTACTGTAATTATCACAGACGCGCCGATCCCGAGATATGTGACGATTGATCCATGGCGAACCTCATTTTTTTTTGGTCTTAGAGTACCCTTTATGCAAGCACGCTGGTTGTGTGATGCCATTCAAGCTGAGGGGGTGGCACACGACATTCAACGTCCTGCGGCATTGGTGTCGTGCGCGGTAGAGAGTCTCTCGTTGGATTGGCTCGACACCGAGGACAGCAGCAACGGCTTCGCGACCATGCATCAGCTGCAGCTGATCGACGAGGTGCGTCAGGCGGTGTTTCTTTACCGTGCGCGGGTGAAACCCCCACCATTGTTGCGCCGCTCCACCGAATCCTCCCCTTATTCTTCTGTGGGGGACGAGGGCCTCGAGACTTCGCCCACCCTGCAAGTCCCAATATCACGATGTGCATCAGTGACTTTGCCGCGGCAGCTGCTGCATCGTGCATCCTCGACGTTTGGACCGAGTTCTAGTGCACTCGAGAGCCCTCATGCTGTGCATGTATCCATACCTTCATCTCATGAGCTTAATCGTTTCCATCGCACTGACTCTTGTTTACGCGAAGAATATCAGGCGAGCAACACTTCAGAGACAACGTTGACACTTAGTTTATTTGAGGCACGTCGAAGCGGTAGTTTGGCACTGTTCCCTCAAACTCACCGCTCTCCTGATACTTCCACCCGTGGTGCTGCGCACGCTGGCCGAAAACGCAGACTGAACGATAATCGTGGAGTGCAGGGCCTCTCGAACGCAGTAGGCAAGAATGTCTCCGCACCTGGATGGGTCTCGGGTTCTGTGTTTTCTCTCATGGGATACAAGACAGGTGACTGGGCCCATGAAACTATGGAGTTGGAGTGGGATCTCAAACTCGAGCTAAGCGTTGTTAAATATCCAGATGGTATGCGACGTGTGACGGAGCTTCATGGCAGTATTACTGCTTTAGTTCTGGTGATTTCCGATCTGTGGCTCGCGCACTTTCTTCGAGAGGTTGGGATGCTACGGACCTTGCTCGCACAGGTGCGTCGGTGCAGAGTTAAACAGCTATCAACCTATCATCGTGGCGGATTTGAGAGTGTCACGTCTTCGGGGACTGAAGATGCGTTGCTTGAGGGCGCAGATCGATACACTAGCCGCTCAGCTTGGCTTCATGATGGAAGAAACGAAGACGACATGGTGCGCCCCAGTGGGACACCGTCGTCTGTGGCCGCGACTCTGCAACCATCCCATATGTTCATCCCAAATTCACGTCATAGTAACCAGTTCAGTAACTATAATGAGGTACGACGAGAGTTAATGGACATGCGAGGCAGCTCCGGGGCAAGGTTGTCGTCTCCCCACAAGGCGATCCGAATGGAAAGTTCTGTGCCTGAGCAGCTTGCTTCTCAGCCTGTCCTGCATTTGCCCCAGCGCGACGTTCCCGCCGCGCCGTCAACGGAACTTGTTCCGCAGGCAATGTTTGTTGTACGGCTAGTCCGCGCAATCCTAGCGCAGCAGCCATCGACAGAGACGTCTGCGGACAACGACACTTATCCTGGTGGGAAAGGGCGCCAGGCAGGCGTGACGCCTCACGGGCGAGGTACGAAACTTCGTTCACCAGCAGATACGAGCTCGTTCGGTTTGTTTTATGTTGAGAAGATGCACTTCTCGCGTGTGACCTTTTTCATCACCTTTACGCGGCAAGACCCCGACCCATTATGGCCACTCATTGGGGCCTACGCACTGATGCTACCTACTGACCTTCGACAATGCGAATTCTACTTCAAGCCCTTCACGTTAGAACACTACATGGGTACGGTCAGTTCGATTGAGGCTATTTTGAGAAAGTGGTGCGTGCGCAGCCTCCTAAGACAGTGGACAAAGGTGACGAAGTTGGGCACTGTGCTGAACATGCTGCAGTGGTGGCGCACGAGGTGGGTGCTGCGGGGGCCGCCGATCAGACTGAACCTGGCCCTTGTTCGCCGCTTACAATGTACTATGGGGAAGAACACCAAGAGGGGGACCGCGCAGCACGCAGCGAATGCCCACCATTCTTTCGTGGTTCCGTTCATGTCCTCCGAAGAGGAGGATGCAGAGGAGAACAACCTGCTCGAGAAGTCAGCAGCAATGGACTCGGAATCCCGGCGGTAGTATCGACAGGGTACCGAGGTTGGAATGGCCCGCGCCTACAATTGCGTGTTTTCATTCCGTATAGCAATACGAGTCCTACACATCATTCAAAAGGGATCGCGTAATTTTCATTTTTGTGTTGAAAAGTTAATTTGAAACAAACTTTTTTTTGGCACTGCTTCATTTTATATGTATCACTTTTAGCATGTTTGTGTCATTACAAAAGTACATATAGTTTATTTTCGTTTGCGTGTCACCTTGGCTTTGCTGAGGGAACTTCTTTTACACTCCCTTATGGTACGGCTATATTGAATGCTCTAAGTTTCCACAACATCCATAGAAGGCAGCAGTCGATATATAAGTTGATGCCTACCTGCAATAGTTCTGTGTGTGAGGAGGTACATCTTCAATATATCCTACGAATTCAATTATTCGGAAATCCCCTCCTTCAGCTGAACGAAAAAAAATGTGTGTAGATGGTGTATATATATATATATACATACGCAGATATATTCATGGTCTGATCAAGGTCGTAATGGTGAGGTCCTTCCATAATATTGCTTTCCTCTTGTGTAAATAAGTGTATGCTATGAAGAAATATGAGTGAGCGTCTTTTCTAGTAAAAGTATTTCGTTCCTTCTCTTCTTTGTTTCCTTTAAGCTTATGATGGAAAACCTTACCAGTCATGATCAGGTCCACAACAACTCAAGTGGCGGCAATGGGGACGGCAGCACGCAGTCTGAATTAATTGGGGAACAAAATCAAGAGGGCCAAGCGCCCACCCTCAGTGCAAAAGACGCCACTCCTGAGCATGAGCTCAGGGACGATCAGGGCAGTGACGCGGCCCCGTCAGGTTCCCTCGATGCGAATACCATAAGTACCGAAGCTCAGGTGAAAGAGCTGCAAAAAGGGGAGAAAGAATTGGATGATTCATCAGGTGCAGAACACGAAAAATCCGAAGGGACTTTAAACAGCGTGGCCGGTGCTGCCGAAGATACCGAGGGTGCCGGATGCAAAGAGAAAAGCATCGACCCAGTGCAGGATGCCGGGGATAAGGACGCGACAAATGATGAAGACCCTGCGGTGGGGACAAAGGAAAAGAAGAAGCCATTATTGTACCCCTACAGGCCAGGGGACATGTCGTTCTGGGATTCCATGCAGAGGCATCGAGAGGGGACGGACGACCCGCCGAAGCAGCCCCCCGTGAAGACCACTCAGGTAGTCAAGAGGAGCAAATTCCATACCACAGCCGATTTGCTCGCGAGACTTCGGAGCGGACCAAGCGTGGAAAAACCCGCTAGGAAGGGGGCAGCAGCGACACAACAGACCAAGCGTGTGGTCATCGTTGTGGAGGGCTCTACCCCACCGGTGATGGATAGAAAGGGGACGACGCCTTGTGAAGATGGACTGCACGTACCGAAGGAAACCAGTCACGCCACCTCTACAGCACCCATGGGAGAAGGGGATGATAAGGAGGTGGCAACAAGATCCCCGGAGGCCATCAAGGCGAACAAAAAGAACGTGGTGTCTACCAATCCCCATGCTATCCTGGACACCGCGCCAAAGAAGGCCTCGAAACTCGTACCACTCGAGGGGAGGCCCGGAGTAACACCGTCTTCTGCTCCCACAACGAGTGCCATAGTCAAGAAACAACACATTACCAACACGCCTGGTGCCGTAGTGAAGCAGGGAGCCGTCCATAAGCGCATAAAAACATCGCAAAAGCCACCTAAGGACACATCGTGCGAGGCCCACATTACTGCAGTGAAAGTCGACCCTTTGATTCAGGAACTCCGCGCGCAACGGAGCAAACCGATTGGTGAGGATAAACCAGCAACGCTTCCCAGGGTCGCTACCGATGATAACGGAAGAAGCAGTTTACGTGAAAAGGAAGCGATAGGTGCTCAACAAATGCAGGGAAATGTGAATGATATTCATGAGGAGATCAGCAAGCTTTTGCTAGATTACTGCTGGAGCGGACCTCCACCTGAAAAGGGTGATGACGCGACAAAGCACCCACCAAACCCCACGAACGATAAACCGCGTCTTGAAAACATTCCGGACGACGGCGGGCACGCGAGGGGAAGGGAGGACGTGGTGGTCGAGTCGACCGACGCAGCGCCTCGTGAGGGCTCCAATGTGGAGAGGGGCAATCCGGAGATGCTGTTATACAATCGTGTGATTCAGCTTTGCCAGCGAGATGACGTGACGCCGACGATCTTAGAGGTCCTCTATGAGCTCATCAAACACACGCGCGTGATTAAGCTGCCGTTGTCATCGCCACCCGGGAAGGGTGGTGGCGACCAGGACCAGGGGGACCCCAGCTCGGATGCAAGTGGTAGCGCGCGTGATCTCATCGAAAAGAGGCGGCGACAATACGCCCAGCAGGTGATCCTCGTCCTCATCAATCAAATCCGCCAGCAGAAGCTGAATGATGAGTACCGACGCCAACTGCTGCAGGATCAGAGGCAAATTGCGGCCGGGAAGGGCGTCGAGCGGGCGGGTCTCGCGACGCCGAATTTACCCTCGTTAGCCGAGCCCTTTTCCGGAGGTCTCCGTTACGGCCAGCCACAGAAGACGTTCTTTGTTCCACAGGGGGGGAATCGCGGGGCCTCCTCGTTGAACCCCGCGGCGGCGGCCTTCCGGGTTCCCTCGGCGGGGCCGTCGGTGGATCCCGCGATGCCGCGGTCGCAGGCCTCCCAAACGACCCCAATGAACCCCTTCGCCGCGCCATTTCTGGCGAAGAACGCGCCGCAACCCCCGATGGCAACGGAAACCGCATCGTCGCCGCCCGCCGCGTTCCCCTTGGACGCCAACCTCGTTTCCCTGCTCGAAGATTTTAAGCAGCGCCTGCAGCATTGGACCTCCGCGGCGCCGCCCGTAACCGTCAATATCACCTCGCAGGAGCGTCAGGCGCTGATGGGCATGCAGCAGAGCTTCAAAAACGCGATTATGTCGGCGACGTCGCCATCGCCGTGGCAGTCTCCTGCCGCGTCGGTGGGAGGGGTCCTACGCGAACAGGATCACTCCTGCAAGCCGAACACATGGTCGTTCGTCGCCTTCGACTCGGGTGACGAGATGGGGCGCTCGGAAACTTATTCGCATCTTTCGAGGGAGATCCCACCGGGTGACGGTGCGTATACCAATCTACTTAAATTTGGTGGTTTGGATACCAAGGCAAGGACCCGATACCCCCCGGAACTTCATCGTACGGTCTTCACCTACAAAACGGTTCAGCTCTCATCTACCAACGAAAATAGTCCGTCAGTCTGGTCGCGTTCCGAAAACCACACGAACATGGACGCACACCCTGTCATAGCACCCAGCAGCCACCAGAACGTCGCCGCGTTAGGGCTTCAGTCAGGCCACCAATCTGCGCACGATGCACAGCGGGGCGTGGGCTCGCAGAGCTCATTCAACTGCAATGCTAAGCCGTTCATTCCAGGTGGTGGGAATGAGAAGGAGAAGGATGTCATGAAAGGCATGAATGTCAATGCCCCTGCGTTCACACCGGCCTCGCTGACGGCTACAGATCCAGCAAAAGTGGTTTAACAAAAGAGAAACGGGAAATTCACTCGGCGGTACCTGCCTCTGCCTCAACTCCCGCTACGACCTTCCTAATGTGGCTCTTTGGACTCTTCGAAGGGGAAAAGACCGGAGAGGTTATTATTGATTGAGGAAAAGGATATTAAATACAATACGGGAAGGGGGGAGGGGAGGGGTTATCAACATCTAATTTAAACGATTTGAGGAAGTCGAAATAAACACACAACACATTTCGAATAGGACAGCCCTGATATACACAGGAAGTGGGGATCCAACATTGCTCCTTTCGTGCTCTTTACCCATGTTTGATGTGTCACATAGGTTTATGCATCGAAAAAGGAGAGCATGTGTGTGTGTGTGTTTGCCAGAGGTGGCGTTAGGGAAGCTTAGTGGCGAGGAAAAATATCACGTATTAAATGTGATGCAGGGGTTGCCAAGTGTTAACTGATTGGTTTCAGTCTATTTTCGGCATTGTTATTTGCGTCGCGCGCATAAACATGCAGCTAGTTGCTTGGTTGACCTGATTTCCTTTCTAGTTGCAGATCGTAATATCAATACATCAGCTTTTTATCTCAACATCGTTTAATTTTTTCTAACTAAGAGTTTGATTCGCGTTGATGATTGTATTAAATATTTATTCCACTTCCATATTTTCGTTATAGATATTTGAATCGTTTATTTGTCGGATTAATCATATGATCATAAGAAAGCGGATTGTTGCATCGATTTGAGTATTGTTGGAAAATCCATTCCCCGTCACATTATCGTGTGTCACTATGAGCTTAATGAAACAAGCATATGGAAGAAAGATATTTAAATATTCATTTCAGTTCGTTTGATGAACTAGAATGTAGCTCTGGTGTCGTCGTTAGGAGGAAGGGGGAGGGGGGGAGCGCGGGTACTACACGTTATAAATATACATTCCGTCCAATCTCGTGGCGTCTTATTCTAGAAGTTAAAATGTGAATTTAATGATTGTCTGATGTTGGCCCACTTTATCTATGTTTCTTTTTTTTCTTTCCAATTATTGCTACCCATACCACTTATTGATTAACGCTTGTTTTGCGGAATAAGGATCCATTCAGCTTCTCACTTATTCATCAAGCTCACCAAGCAAGCATATCTACCTAAACACTTTTTTCTTACATTAACCAATGACCAATCCGACTCTTTGGTGCGCTACACACCCCGAGAACAACCGCCTTCTCAAGATTTTGGCGCTGGCGTCGTTCGCGAATGTCACTCTTGATACCCACGAGTGCCAGATGGGTGTGGAAAACGAGACCGAGTTCTTCGGCAAGAACTGCCACCCCTATAAGCGCCTTCCCGTCTTGCAAACTGAAGAGGGCTTCATCTTTGAATCTAACGCCATCGTGCGCCACATCGCACGGCTCGACAAGAGCGGGAACTCCCTCTACGGGCGCACACCGTTCGAAACCAGCCAAGTCGATATGTGGCTTGACTTCGCCACCACGGAGGTTGATGCGGCCACCATTCCCTACGTTCTGCACCTCTTCCGGCAGACGCCGATCCCGGAGGGTGCGGCGTCGAAACTCGAGGAACTCGTGAACGTAGACCAATGGCTGGAGAACCGAACCTTCCTCGTGGGCGAACGCATGACCGCGGCCGACATCGTCCTTGCCTTTTCTCTACGCACTGCCTACCGCCTGACCGGCAGCGTCGGTGAGGAGCTGTCGAAGAAATACAAGAACCTCTTCCGTCTGTACAACACCGTCATGCAGAACCCCCAAATGGTTGAGCTCTTCCGGAAGCTCGGCGCGTCTTCCGCGCCATTCAAGACAGCCAAGCCGGAGGAAAAGAAACAGCAACCCGCGAAGAGTGCGCCCAAGCCGGCCGCTCCTGCGAAGAAAGACGACGACGAGGAAGAGGAGCCGAAGGAGAAGAAGGCGCCGAACCCACTCGACGCGCTGCCGCCGAGCCCCTTCGTTCTCGACGCGTTCAAGCGGGAGTACAGCAACACCGACACCCGCACCGTGGCCGCGCCGTACTTCTTCGCGAACTTCGACGCGAGCGGCTACTCCTGCTTCTGGTGCCGCTACAAGTACAACGAGGAGAACAAACGGCAGTTCATGACGGCCAACCTCGTCCGTGGGTGGTTCCAGCGGATGGAGCACCTCCGCAAGTACTCCTTTGGCGTCGCGCTGCTGATTGGGGAGGAAACTCAGCACGATATCGTGGCGTTCTGGGTGTTCCGTGGCCAGGGTATGCCGCAGCTGGTGGAGGAGGTTGCCGATACGGAGCTGTTTGACTGGGAGCCGATCGCGGATATCAACGCTGAAAAGGAAAAGATCACGGACTACCTCTGCTGGGAGGGTCCAACAATTCCCCGCCCGGTTCTGGAGGGACGCACCTTCAAGTAAAGCGCCTATGACCATATCGACTAACCAAGAGGAAATGCACACTGGGAGAATGGTTGCACTTCAGGAGTTAGTTTCTTGTTAGAATGGACCTATTTCAGCGATTTATAAGAATATTGTTTGGACTTTATTTTAAATTAAGTAAATGAATAACTAAGTAAAATGTTTTCTTCTCGTTGAACAAGTGATTCTGAGTCTCTCGCCCAGCAGCACCTAAAGAGCTAAGTAACGGAATAAATAAAGAAAAATGAGGGTAGCTTCGCTACCAGCTGCAACCGATCGACGGCATGAAGTGTGTGGGAGGAAAATTCAGCTCTGTAAGCATAGAGACAAGGGAAAACAAATAAATATAGCACAATCTGAATATTTTTAAAATGAGTCTAAACATGCGTGTCCAAATGCATGACGTTGACTGGTAAAGGAATAAAATCCGTACGCTTGTTTAGAAGTGGTCTATATTTAGTATCAAGGATAGGAGTATTAAAAAATCCGGAAAAGCCTCACTGGTGTTCTAATATGCATAAATATTTCTACATGTGTATCGATGGGACGTTCTTCACTCGCAGGAGGTGCGGTTCCATATGACTTCCAATTGTGTTTTCTCTCATCGGTTTTTCACTCCGTTCGTTATTCTCCTTCTCTCTCCTTTTGCTATCCATATACCCATTTTAGGAAAAGGGTACTTACATTTATCTTATCACCAAAGACCAAACGCGCGTTTGGACTTCTCCCAGCTCGGACAGAACGCATTCGATCCACCAACCCCCGATGACGAGCCCGACTGGGGACCGCTTGAGCGGGGCGGCAAAGGTTCTGACGCGTGCGACCCCCCTCGCGATGCCGATATCGCGCATTCAGTGCATCCCCTTCGCCAAAGGTGGGGAAGGGGTGGTGGTAAGCGCGGGCGGGGCCGTGATTCGATCGATGCGGCTGCGAGATCTCGCCGGGGTCGCTGAAAGCCGCGGCGGCGCCGGGATTGGACCGCGGGCGTGGGAATGGACGGAGGGCTACACCGACGGGAAAGGCGTGGAGGCCGGCTCGACGATGATCGGAGGAGGGGATGGGGGGGATCCCACCCCTCCCGCGAAGGGGATGGGCGCGGTGGTGGAGTACCTCGCGGCGTTGCAATCCCGCGCGGAGGGGCGATGGATCCCGCCTGGGCAGGACCTCTTTCCCGGCGATCCCTCCCCTCTGGCGACCTCCAAGTTGGAGCTGCACACCGGGCACGTGGCGTCGCTCGCGGTGAGTGCGCTACCGGAAGGGATCTCCGCCTTAGGGGTGGTGGGGACCACCCAAGGGTCGTTAGGGGTCTTTCAGATCGAAGGCAGCGCGCTCTCGTGGTTGTGTGAGCGCCCTCTCGGCGGGTATTCGGAAGGGCGGATCGGCGTGGCGGATGTGGTGAGGGATGTGGCGATCAGCATGGATCCTGCCGGGCGGCCGGAGTTCGTGGCGGCGGCCACGGATCGCTGCGTCGTGCTGATCGACCTCCTCGATCTCGTCGATGGCGCCAACGCCCGCCACGGGAAGGGGAACGGCATGGAAAGTGGAAGCCCCCGCGAAGGGGGGGCGGCGTCGACGTCTTTTTCCGCCGGGGTGGGGTGGCGGTGGCCCTCCATCGCGCGGCGGGATCGCAGTCGGCCGCTCTGCCTCACCTTTGCGAACCCCCCACAGGCAAGCCACATCGGCGCCCCCTCTTCGTTGAGCGGGGATGAGGTCGGGGAGGTGGTGCGGGTGTTGATTCCGCAACGCGCGCACGCGGCTTTTGATTTCGACGTCGCCGCGGTGGTCGTTCTCGCGGATTCGACGGTGCGCTTCATCGAGCGTCGGGTCTGCGGGGGGGCCGTTCGTCTGCTTTGGGAGTCCCACCAGGCCCTCCAACACGCGGCCTCGCGATCCGCCGTGATGGTGAAGGAGCTTCTCGGGGAAGCGAGCCGTTTGGCGGGTCCGCGGGCCCCGGATGCCCCGCTTTTGACGACGCTGCCGCACGTGCAGTTTGCGTACGCCCTCTCGCGGTATTCCTTCAACGCCTGTCAGGGCGCGGGGGTGGGGGGGATGGGGCGGGGATGGCGGCCTCCCGGTCGAGGCCACGACCTCCGCGTGACCGTCAACGACGCCTCGTTGTTCTTCAATCCGAAGTCAGGGCGGATGGATTTGGTGTTCGTGGGATGCCAACACCCCCCCAATCCCGTCCCTTCCGCGCGGAGGATTTTGGAGGGGAAGGAAGGAGCGGGGGGGGGGCTCGCGCGATCGCCTTTGGCGGCGGCGGAAGCCACCTCTGAGGGGTGGTGGGGGGTCGCCCGGGATGTCGTGCTCGCGCGGCTGACGTTGCATCCTTTTAGCGCCTCCTCTCCTTCCCTGGCTTCGCCTCTTCGGGAGCGGCCGACCGTTCACG